CCGAACAGGAGGGACACCCTGAAACCTGGAAAGATGCAGTACGGAGAAAACAAATTATATGGGGGGGATTCCCTGCTGCTCACCAGCTGTGGAGGAAAACAAAAGTGGGGTATTTCAGGCGGGATGGCCCAGCCTGTGAGCCCTCTGCTTCTGCCGTGACTGCCGCTCAGTTTGTGCAATGGCAGCCCCAGGGTCGGCGATGCTGGAGGAGCCCCGGCAGCTGCGGGGAAGGCCCAGGGGACAGCGGGAAGCGGGTGGCTTAACCTGGCCATGCCTGCACAACCATCCCGGTCTTGAAGCCTCTCTCCTGCCGTGCCTGCCCGAAGGGGCTTTAGGCAGTGCCCCCGTGCCTGTCCCCCCAGAAGGCAGCAGTCAGGCTGGCGAGGAGGGCAGCTGCGGGGCTGCGAGAGGAAATGGGCTGCGGCGGAAGGAGCGAGGCTCCTATTTATTCCACAGCTGTAGGGAGAGGGGTTTAGATTGGGCTGATGGCATGGCTGAGGGAAAGCTCTCAGTGTAGGGAGACGTGACTAATACGTGCCGTGTGTTACGCTTTCGCAGCGGGGTTGGCAAAGGAATGAAGTTCTGTTTGTTTGTTTTTCATCAGCGTAATGTTACCCACATTGTGGCTTCTTAGTTTGGAGTCCCTCTGCTGCTATTTGCGTTTTCATGTCCCAAAATATAACAGATAGGGAAGCTTATTTCACATGTCTTGTGCTTATATTTTCTTTCAGAAGTTATTATTCATGTTGGTACTTAAAGAGTAATCCAAGTCCTCAGCATGTCAGCAGCATTACCATTTCAGAAGAGCGAGCTATGAGCTTTCTGTCACTCAGCTTCCTTCATGTGTTCTCTCTCTGCCCAATACCGTGTCTCCCACCACGACTCCTTTGGCATAAAGCGTGTCCCAGTGCTTAACACACGTGCCAGACATCTATCCTCTGGCTGGTTTTAGTGTGGCACTTGACAGCTAAAGAGTTGTTCAATATGAAATTAGAGTTTATTCTAATGCCGTTTCAGCAGCTGGCATTCTGCAGAGATGCCTGTTTCTGAAGGCAGTTAGCTGCTTTCTTGCCTTCTGCAGACTTCCAGCTTTTCTATCCAGATGGTGTGGCAGCAAGAGCACTGTAATGAAAGATTTGTAACTGAGTTTTCAAGTTGTGGAGTTGCTGTTGCTAATGCCAAACCTTGTTTCAAATGGGCGAAAATATTTGTTGTCTTAATCGTCTTTGGACCAGTCAGATATTCTCATGAGGTTATACAGTACCACCAAAGGATATGAACTGACTCACAGCTTGTATGATTTTTATCTCCTGAAACAATATTTGAATAGGAGGTTGTTAGTGTTCTTGTTTATATTACTGTTTTCACCATGACTAAGTACTGCTATGACTCGCCCCACAATGTTCTTATGAATCTGGGCAGGATTTTGGTATTGAAGGACAGTTTAGTGGTTGATTAAAAATTAGATGCTGTTGATCTTTCCTCAGTATAGCCATTGAGTTACTAAGAGCCCGTATTGAATCTCTTGCTTTTTCACAGAATGAAGCTTGCAGATGTGTACACGTTTGGGTTTGTTTTTTTTTTGCCGCTGCCTCATCTGACACCAGCACTCGTATTGATACGTTTGATTAAGGTTCCGTTTACTTGAACTTTGTGTGCTGATGCTGATGTCCCATCGCATTTTAGGATATCACAAAGATTGCACTGGAAGATGTCAGGTGCTCTGGAAACCTGTATTTTTTGTTATGTTGATTTTTTCTGTAGGAAGCTTTTGTAGTCTGTTTATTCTCCAAAAGGCTTAATCACAAAGCAACAAGCCTGTACCCCTGTGGAGTTTCATCACTGTTGCTAAGCCGTTCAGGACATCTTAGAGTACCGCAGGGACAGGTGAGGCACCCAAAGCACGTGCACCCATCACTGCTGCAGCGGGCTGCGTGGCAGGGGAGGTGTCACCGAGCAGCTCGGCTAATGAGCAGTGGTACAGATGTTCCTTGTAGCTCAAGAGTCTTTGGTCTGTGGGCCAGACGTGGCCTATAAATTTGTTTCATTGTTTTTGACCTGGACTATACAATACTGCGATGCATAGAAGTCATACCTGATCATCAACACAGAAAAGGTTGTCCCCTCTCCAAGGCCACAGTTCATTAGGTTCTCCAGATGCCAAAGTTCTGCCCCTTGGGTTTTGGATTATCCTTTATTCTGTTTTTGTTGCTTTTTAGAAGAAATTTTTAAAGGCGAGTATTTGGAGTTAGTTTGGCAGTCTTGGAGCTGCAGTCAGCGATGGTATTTGGCTAAGAAGGGCAGCACATGGGATGGGGTGACTCATGACAGCAGAAGGGAGGAAGCTAAGCCACTGCAGAGAGGAAATTTATTCACCCTTAACCGCTTTCTTTGGAGGGGATGTCACCATGGTATCACAACACTGGGCGTACACAGCGCGGTATTTCTCATCTGCTGTTTAGACACAGGTGTCTCCTCCTAAAATAAAAATGTGTGGAAAAATAATGAATTGAGTGGGATGAATTAAAAAAATCGGACTCATGGTTTTTGCACGCTGGCAACCGCTGTACTGTAAGCGGGTAGCCACAGCCTCGTGTTTCTAACCAGAAAACTTCCTGGAGTCCCATGGTATTAATATGAACATGTTCAGCCATTGATGTAGTTGTTAATCTATAGCTACGAGTATTTTAAAGGAAAGATGTGTTTGTGATTGGCTGAATGTACTTTTTTCCTTTGACCTTGTACTCTTGCACAGGCTCTGCAGTGACCTGAGGAGCTGCCTTTCACTTACACCCCTCCAGGCGCTTCATGGGGATGCTTTGCTTCTTACTGCTCCAGAATAGCCAGTTTTAAGCCCTTACGGCTATTTATGCTTGCCTTGCAATTACATTTTTTGTAATGTTTTTGTTTGTATTTACCTAATCTCCAGCTCTAGAGATGGATATAGAGAAATAAGAAAATATTGATTGACAGGAAGAAATAGTACTTACTGTTAATATAAATAAACTCATAGCCTGATAATATTCACTTTTCTGATAACCTTGTTCTGCCTATTGTACTGTATATTTACAAAAACTCTCCATGATTAACCTAGCCTTGCTAGCAGACCTTTCAAAGCCTGCATATGAAGAACCTGTCTGTTAGCCTCCTCTTGGCCTTTTCTCTTCTATCCAAGGAAAGTCACTGTCAAGAGCCTTACAAAAGTACCAGGTCTTATATTTAGTAAAGACCCAGGCTTGCTTAGTGCAGGCTAAAACTCCAGGTATTATCACAGGATCTGTTCTCATCCAGACTTTGAAATATCAGGTCTACTTTTAGTGATGACTGTTCAGAAAGGGAGAGATGATATCCTGACTGTTGAGCACTTTTAAATGTGGAGACCAAAGGGTGGTGTGTCTCCCATATGTGCTGCATCTGCCTTTTAACCTCGAGAAGACCTTGCCCAGAGCTGTCTGAGTTAAGATCTATGTTTGTCTGACTCCAAGTTCTCCTTAGAAACCAGTATAAAGTTCAACAGAGAGATTTTACAACCAAGTCTGCTGTTTCTTTCTCTTCATGTCTGCCTTGATGGGACAGCTAGAAAGTAAAGGAAAATCTTTATAAACTCTGCTTATGGGCTTAGAAGTCCTCTGGGAGGAGTTTCTCATCCTTGAGCTTCAGTGCTTCTTATCTACAGGGGAAATCTGACTCAAAGATGTAGTATGGCATTAAAGGGTGTATGCTCTTAATCTAGGTGCCTAAGCAGCTTCTTGACCAAGGCTTCCTGATCTACTGCGGTCGTGTCGATTTGTTCACTTACTCTTTCTGTGCTGCCCTCTGCCTGCCCAGCCCCTGCCTTGTTTATGGAATAGAAGTGCAAATATTTCTTTGGAAGAGTGGTGGGACAGCTGCCCTCTGAGCCAGACTTGCTACTAATTTAAACTAGCACAGTTTTTCTGAGGGTAGTAACACCAATGTCAAATGCTCTGGGGGGGTCTCTTGGAGCAATCAAGCTTGCCTGGTCGAGTAAGGCCGTGCAATGTGAACTCTGGTTTATGCTGCAGGTTGAGCAGTTGAAGGGAAAAACACCTCCCTCCGCCGCTGACTGCGAACGAGGGGCATAGGATATTCCTTCAGCTGTTTCCACTGACTCGGCAGAGCATGCACAAAGTGCCTTCAGCTCTGCTGGCAGCTTCCTTGTAGAGGCCAAGAGCTGGATGGTTTTACCTGACTGTGCCTTAGGACTAGCACGGCGGCACGGAGCAGGCTGCATTGCTCTCTGGGTTTATCTCATTTAGGCTGAATGAGACCATGGATCTGCCTAACCATCTGAAGGCATCCTAGTAGCCTAGGTGAGCATACCGGTGCTGGCTTTAGTCTAGCTGGTGTAGGTCTGAGATGTCAGAGACTCACTTCACCTCCGAGCTGGCGTGCCTGTTGGTAAAAGCCTTGCAGAGCGTGGGATGTGTGCTGGGGCTGTTCTGCTGCTTGGACAGGCACCTCTCTGTGGGTTATCAGTTATTTGGCCTCAGTGCTGAGATGAGGCTGCTTAACCTGTCGGTTTGTGTATTTGTGACTTCTCTCGTGCCTGTTCCCAATGTTCAGGATGCTTTGAGGTTGCTCTTTGTTAGAAGTTAAAAGCCTCGCTAAGGCTTGGTAACTTTTCCCAGGTGTCAATGATTATTCCTGATGGAGCAGGTACACAGTGGCACAGCAAGAATGAAGATCTGTGCTCTTTTCTTTTAGGATTTTGTTGGTCTTAGACACCCAGTGGCTCCTGGGGGCTACAAGAGGAATATTTGTGGGGGAGGCCAAGGGTTATCCACCTGTGTGCAGTGCTGAGGTGTTGATGGAGAGTGCTCGGCTCTCCTGCAGTGTGTGCTGGTCCGGTGCATGTGTATATTTACATCCATCCCCTTCTCCCACAATGTCTCTGACATACAATATTTATACTGCCAAATACATAACAACCCACTGCTGTCTTGACCCAGAAGAGTCCTGTCACAAGTTGTGACTTCTTTTAACTCAGTAAGGTGAGTGGATTTTCTTTTGTCTGGGTTAATGAACTGACTTGCTATGTGACGAGTGCCAGTGGGAGAAAAACAAGTTAAGGAGGAAGGAGTGGAGACAATATGATGTTAATTCAGCAGCAGTATGGTATTAATTCAGCCTAACCCCGCAAGAGCTCCACTCAAAGTGCCAGGGCCGTTCTGTAGCAGGGAGACTTGAAGAACCTCAACTCTTGTTCAAAAACTACCTGTTTTGGAGACTTAATAGAAACAGGGATCCTCGGTACACAAGGGATCTCTGTGCAGTCTCTCCCAAGTGATTACCGTGTTGTCAGGTTTGTTTGAAGACTCCTTTGGTCAAAAAAAATAGAAAGAAAAGAACAAAACAAGAAAAATACAAAAATTACTTTGTACAGGGCAGGCTGCGTGGTAGAGCGCAGATCTAAGCTGGTCTGAAGTTGAAGTCCTGTTGTTGCCTTTTGACCAAAGGGTTTGTTTGCAGAGCCCTTGAATACCCTCCTCTGTAAGGAGAATCGCCGTGAAGGGTGACTGCTATAGCCCTCATGCGGCTGGAGGACAGAGGACCATACTGTGAGTTGTAGATTAGCCCATCTAAAAATGTCTCTTAGTATCTTCTGACCCCAGTCGCTTTCCCAGCAAGCACATTTGCTGTGCTTGGCGGTGCCCCTGAATGCACCACGGCACCCGAGGGAAGAGGGTCTCAGCGCTACGAAGGAGGCTGTGAGAAGAGCCCCCGCTTTGCGGGCTGAGGTGGATGTACTGTCACAGAGGAGGGAGGGGAACATCCTCATTGCTTCATAATCTGTCACAGGAGAATGGCCCGGTGACTTTCCTGTTTGAAAAACTTCTCTGACATGACAATTTCTCCATTGCAGTACAAGCAGCCAGAGGCAGGGCTGAAGGGAAAGTTTTATGTTTGGTTCTTCCCCTCTAGGTTATGAAATAGTAAAAGCCTTTCAGGTTTTGAGATTATTCTGCAATTTCACATCTTCCACCTTTTGTGAGATGCGAAAAGGTCCATGGGACAAATGTCGTTCGTAGAGCTGCTGCTGGGGATCAGCAGAGAAAAGTGATGAGGAGGCTGGAGGGAGTTGCAGGCTGCCTTGTTCCTCCTGGCGCTGTCGGAGTGGTGAGGGATTTGGGCCTCAAGAGATGCTTTAGAGGTAACTCTTCCGGAGACTTTCTCCCCTTTGAATCCCAGCTTCTCAGCTGTGAGCTTTTGACCCTTTTCCTATAGGAAAGAGCTGGCTGTATAGAGACCGCGGCTTTGCTGCCCTCTGACTTGCGAGCAGCTGGTTCACGTTTCTTGAACCTGCAATCCTACACATGCTGCAGGACCGTTTTGTGGGATCTGATGTGTAGTGACAACTTTCCTGTGTTCACAAAGCAAGGCAACAGCAGATCTGGTAGTGGTAACAGGGAGTTTTGTGTTGGGCTGTGGGAGTCAGGGGATCAGCTGAGTCTTTAAATCTCTAATAGCCTTGTTAATTGGCTGCAGGAGGCCTATGGCTGAGCAGAAAGGTAGCCACTCTGTTAAAGTAACACTGGTTTCTGAAAAAATAGAGGTAATATTTATATAGTTGTAGTCTCCTCCTCCCTCTGCTTGGTAGGAGATGGTGTGGAAAAATACTGTCCAGACAGCCTGGGCCCTGGGGCTCTGGTGTGCAGGGTCGGTGTACGTTGGCTCCATCCCAGGAAGGGTGAAGAGGTGTGTTGGACTGGGAACAGTGCCTGCCTTCAGACCTTTCCTGACTCTCTGGTGACTAGTGCCAGAGGTGAGATGTGCCACTAAACAAGAGAGGCCTCCAGAGATGTATAAGGTGAAAGGAGCTCCTGTTTGGTAGGAGGCGGGTGGCAGACCTTAAGGGAGCTCACCCATAGCGTGGGTCTCTGGGTGGCAAGTCAACAGGTGTTTATTAAACGTGGAGGAGGGAAAGGAAAGCAGCCTATGCTTGAGAAAACACTGGCCTTTTGAGGAGAACCTGCACCCCTGAGTACCTGTGTGTGCCCACAGGCCCTGCT